TGAAGTGACTACAAGTTGTTCTTAAGCTTCAGCAGTTAATATTATCGCTCATGCACACTTAAATGAAAGGATTTACTGATGTTACATAAGGCCAGACTGGTTTTACAGTTAAAAGATGTTAATGAGCTAACAGCTACCCGAACGCTACTCCCACGTAGGTTGTCTTGTTAATATTTTAGCCATAAGATAAAAAAATTACTTGCAAACATCTCACAGATGTAACATTATGTACAGCTACTTTCCATACAACTGATATTTATTTAGACTCTTTTTCTTCAGTTGTAATTATAGACCAATTTCTAACCTTCCTTTTATCTCAAAGATTCTTGAAAGAGTAGTTGTAAAACAAATAACAGATCACCTGCAGAGGAATGGTTTATTTGAAGAGTTTCCGTCAGGTTTCAAAGCTCATCACAGCACAGAAACAGCTTTAGTAAAGGTTACAAATGATCTTCTTATGGCCTCTGACAGTGGACTCATCTCTGTGCTTGTCCTGCTAGACCTCAGTGCAGCGCTCAGTGCTGTTGAACATGATATTTTATTACAGCAATTGGAGCATGCTGTAGGTATTAAAGGTACTGCTCTGCAGTGGTTGAATTGTATCTATCTAATTGACACCAATTTGTTCATGTAAGTGGAGAGTCCTCTTTACACACTGAGGTTACAGATTGCACAAAGTGTTACCTAACTATGGTGTTCCACAGGGTTCAGTGCTTGGACCAATTCTGTTTTCATTATAAATGCTTCTCTTAGGCAGTATCATTAGAAGGCATAGCATACATTGTCACTGCTATGCAGATGACACCCCACTTTATCTATCCATGAAGCCAGATGTCTTAAAATAGAAATGTCTTAAAGACATAAAGACCTGTATGACCTCTGGTTTTCTGCTTCAGATAATTCAGATAAAACGGAGGTTATTGTACTCGGGCTTAAAAATCTTAGAAATATGGTATCTAACCAGATGCATTACCCTGGCCTCCAGTAACACTGTGAGGAATCTGAACCAGATATGTCCTTAATGTGCATATTAAATAAATATGTGGGACTGCTTTCTTCCATTTGCGCAATATCTTCAAAACTAGAAACGCCCAAAATTAGAAACATCCTGTCTCAGAGTGATGCTGAAAAAACTAGTTCATTCATTACTTCTAGGATCAGGATGTCCTTAAAACTTCCTGAAAGCTTTCAGTTGATTCAAACTGCTGTAGTAAGAATACTGACAGGGACTAGAAAGAGAGCATATTTCTCCTAGACTGGCTTCTCTTCAATGGCTCCCTGTAAAAATCCAGAATCGAATTCAAAATCCTGCTCCTCACATACAAGGTCTGGAATAATCAGGCCCGTCTTATCTTAATGACTTCATTACCATATCATGCCATTAGAGCTCTTCGCTTCGCTCTGGACTTATTTAGTTATTTTATTAAAAGTAGAATGGCAGGCAGAGCCTTCAGCTTTCAGGCCCGTCTTCTGTGAAACCAGCTTCCATTTTCAACTGAGGAGACAGATACCCTCTCTGTTTTTAAGATTAGTCTTAAAATGTTCCTTTTTGCTAAAGCATATAGTTAGGGTTGGATGAGGTGACCCTGAATCCTCCCTTAGTTTCTTGCAGTAGGTTTAGGCTGCTGGGGGATTCCCATGATGTACCGAGGGTTTGTCTTCTTCAGTCACCTGTTTTGTTTTTGTTTTGTTTAATCCCAATCTGTAGTTGCTTTTATTAATAGTGCGAACAGGATTAAGGGCATTTCCCATCCTTCTCTTCCAGTGAGTTGTTGTCATTGATGACTGACAACCTAATTCAAAGTGTGAATTTATTGCCAGGAGGTGCCAGCAGCAGCAGTAGCAATTACAGTAACTCTTCACAAGCCTGCGATGTCACATCATAAAACTGAAATTGAAAAATATTTCCTCCCTGCGATGTCAATCTTTGGTCGAGTTTTTTAACCAGTTGCTCCTTTTCCACCACCTGGATTGATATCATATCATTGGCAAAACAATATGTAGCTGCATCAGTGATTCTATCCACCGTTTGCACTTCCTGTCATGTGGAGTGTTAAAAGCAAACGCTCCAGTGTCGATTTGTTTACTTCTGGGTCACACATCACCAGATGTGATCGTATCCTTGTATGCTGTCATAACCTGGTTGTATTCAATGGTGTTCTTTTGCCTGAAGTGGTGAAACAAGTTTGCTTTAACCCTTTTAGTGGGAACTGGTTTCTTGCATGTCTTGAAAAGTACTGTATCTTGTTGGAGGTTGTTGAAGTAGGTCCCTTTTTAGGTACTAATTACCATCAGAGGCTGACGCACTGCTTGTTTTGTTGTGCGCGCACAAGGGAATTGAAGTGCTTTAAATGAATGAAAAAGAATTTAAATGTTGCTATATCGTTATTTTCACTTTTTTTGTCACATAAAAGCCTGCTGATAGTATGATGCACAGCTCTAATGTCTAGCCAATGTCTGCTGTAATATTACTCAGATAATCAATTAAAAATACTTCAAAAGGCAACAGTGACACATGCGCACAGCAAAAGGGTGCATTTTATTTATGACTTTAAGTCATGGTTGAGGCCTAGCAGACTCAGTCATGAAATTTAGGGGGGTGGCTAGTGCCCCCTCCCCCATTAACTTGACCCCCAGCTACAAACTGGTTGGCAACCACGGTTAGCACAGAAGCAGTAGTAAATGGTAAATAGCCTGTATTTGTATAGCGCTTTACTCACTCCCTAAGGACCCCAAAGCGCTTTACACTACATTCAGTCATCCACCCATTCACACACCCATTCACACACACATTCACACACTGGTGAAATTTGTCACAACTTTACAACCGCTCAGTGAGTTGTTAGCAAGTGTTATAGACAAGTCAGCAATTTGCATGCAAACTGTGGTTACTAGGGTCAGGGACTGGACTCTATGCCTGCTTGACTGTAGCTTTATCAACCACAGCAACTCCCAGCAGTCACCAGAAACCTCCAATAACCACTTGCCAACTGCTCGGGAAATACATGTTTTTCTTTAGAGACCGGTGGTTACGAGTGGGATCACCAATCAGTCATTAGGACGTGTGACAGAGGGCTAATGAGATAATTCAGAACTATAAACCCTCTGATTCACACATGCATTTATTTTATGGTTGAAAAACTTTGTTAATATAACTCACAACTAGAGATGTGTGCACTTGTAGCAATTTGGGGTCCAGTGCCTGAAACTTTGGACTGAGCCCCATTGGTAAATTGTACAACTTTAGTATGCAATTCAACAATAAGCTTTACAGCTTTGGCTGCAAACAATACCTTTTACTTGGATCAGTTGATTTCCGGATCTGTTCACCATGAGATATATTGTCTCACCCTTTAGCAAACGCGCCAACCCACTTACTCTCACACTACTGCATATTGTAATGCTGTCTGTGTCAACTTCTTTCTGTTTTGCTGCTATAAAACACTGGAGGCTGTTGTCAGTGAACAGCATGTCTGTTTAATCAAACTGCGAGCCTGGTTAGATAAAATGAATCCGTATGCACATTCTTGGGGAAGAGCGGTGCAGACACAGACAGCTGATCAGTAGTCATTTTGTTGTCAGTCTTATCACAGCAGTGCAGGATGTGCAGTGTTGGTTCTACTGTCCGGTTCCTCCAAGAAAGAAGCAAAGCTGTTCAATCAACAGTATTAACACAATGTCCACCCTCACCCCTCCTTACAGGTGGAGCCAAACAGTTGCTATGACAACATTGCAAGTCTTAATACTAATAACTGTTGCGCCACCTGATGTGCACCGAGTGCCCAAGTGCCTCCAAATCCAGCACAAATTCGTCAGTAGTCAACCAGCTACCCTACAAAGTGTTTCCAGCTGTGGCAGTGACAAAACCATTTCACTCCCATCCCCAGCTCTTGAAATACAGCACCACTTATTCCTGTATATGCTTTACCCTCCTGAACCATGTCACAGTTGTATACACGCGTGGCTGTCTTATACGCCGAAGGCATTTATGCTAAAACGAGTCAATAAGCTACAATTAAAACAAACAGAAAACTAGTATACTTTCTGCATTGTTAAAAGCACTCAATAACACATCTATCCCGAACAATACTAATTTTCTTTGTTGTAAAAAGCTTTTAGTTTTCAGTAGGAGTGATAGAAAATGTTTAGACACCTTTAATCATCGTTATTTGATGCCAAGTTTCTGGAATCACAAGCTAAGTTCAGGGATAGTGGGATGGAAAAGTACATAACACTGTCTTTATTGTGATGTAGTGGAGTCTGAGCACACCAGTCTGACAGTTGCATTATTTGAAAAATAGCACAATAAGGTTGGCTCCAAAATACATCACTGCAGGGCTCTTTAAATCTTCCTACAGCATCAACTAAATGACAAAACAAGACATAAATAAACAGACAGCCGAACAGAGAGTTGGTTCGCTAAAAGACAGGTTGTAAATAGTACATGACTGTATGACTGATACACATACACCTATCAGAAGAAAAGTATCCAGTTTTTGGTTAATACAACAGATTAGCACGCTCCTGCCTTGTTCCTGATTTCAGTGCCTGGCTCTGCTTCAGAGCCACAAATCTCAGTTTTCATTGAAGGCAGTAAACAACGTGAACCGTGACCTCTAAAGGACATGTGGGATGCTTCCACCATTCTTGCTCATTGCAAAATCTTTAGATAGGCTTAGTAAAATAATGATATTGATCATTAAAGGAAGACTCGGGTGATTTGGTAATAAATTACCCAAAAATGCTGGATATAGTAAAAAGTGTAAAAATTTAAACTCGTATATGGAAAACGATAAATAACTTATTTTTTGTATTTATCAGAAAGTTCAATAAACACTCCAGTTAAAAAAATAATCATTTTCTGGCAATTACTTCATTATTTAGGAGTAAAGGGGTTTAGAGATAGACGTTCAGAAGAACTAGAACTAAAATTCTGTATTGCTGTCACACTTAAAAATCATGAGATCTAATGCAACGCAAATCCTTTTTTTTTTTTCCAGGAGAATCCGTATGTGATGCTCCGACAGAACCACCAAGAACTCGAGGGAAATGACCGCTATGAGGGCTTCTGTGTGGACATGCTGAAGGAGCTGGCAGATATTCTCAAGTTTAAGTATCGCATCCGGCTGGTGGGGGACGGCGTCTACGGTGTTCCCGGAGCTAACGGAACATGGACGGGCATGGTTGGAGAGTTAATCTCAAGAGTATGTAAATATTTGCATATGCAATAATATTGCCAACAAACAAACCATACCACTATAAATGATTATGTTTTCTCCTTCGCATATGTGCGAGACAGAAAGTTTTTACAGGTGTCTATGCAGTCCTGTGAAAAGCTAAGTACAGCTTTGCTGCTTCCATAAGAATTAAGATGGTAAGAAGCAGCCAGGTGCTGCTAATCAAATGCGTTTTATTAATGGATCATCAGCAAGCGTGAGCATCTCTGTAAACGCAGAAGTTTTGGCAGCTTGTTCTGAAGCATTCAGGTGTGTGTTAACACAATGCCAAAAAGGAATGACATCAATAAAAGAAGTAATTGCTCCTGTCCATCATTCTACAGTGAGAAAGAGGATTCACAAGTAAAAGGAACTTGCCATTTTTCCCAGGAGCAGACAGACATCCCAGTAAATTCACCCCAGAGTCAAATCATGCAATGCTTAGAGAAACTACAAAAAACAGAAAGAAAACAAGAGCTGTATCTCAGACTCTACAGGCCTCAGTTAGCATGTTAAATGCCGTAACCCTCTACTGCACACATTTTGATGGTACATGCTGAACATCATTTTCTGACTCATTTCGGGCCATTTTATTGCCAAGATATTTTTTTTGTGCAACAATGGTATAAAACCGCAGAGAAAATTATTATCTCATAATTCATTACACAACTTTTAGAAAGCAAAAAGACCTCAGAAAATCTTCCAAAAATGTCGACAAATGTTGAAACAAAGAATTGAAAAGACGTGAAACATATTTACATAAATGATTTGATGCAGGCTTAGGTTCAAATTGTGCAATATCATGTCATATTGATTATACTGTTGTGAGACTGTCAGTCTATGTGAAACTTTCCAAAACAGTTCTGAGGTGGACATTACACTTTATACACATCATTTTTGGTTTTTCTGTGCACCCAGGAACCCTACATCTTGCCTTGTTCGGTTCAGTTCAGTTTTACTTGTATTGTGCCAAATCACAGCAATTACCTCAAGGTGGTATATCGTAATGTCATGAACCTACAACAATACAGAGAAAACCCTAACATTAGATGACCCCCTATAACCAAGCACTTGGCTACAGTAGGAAGTAAAAACTCCCTTTTAACAGGAAGAAACCTCCAGCAGAACTAGAATCAGGGAGGGGCAGCCATCTGCCTTAATCGGTTGGGGTGATGGGGTTGTCACATACTGTTGGCCAAAGTGATATATTATAATATATTGTCTGAGATGAGGTTCTGATATGGAATGGGAGCTCTGGGACTCTGCTTCTTCCTCCTGTCATCATAATTTTTGAGATATCCCACTAATGGTTCGAACTCTTTGCACAGATTTCATGCAATTTTGTATTTTGGACCACATTTCAACTCGGAAGCTCTGGTGGTTGGACAGCCTTCCCAATGTAATTGGTTTCCATCATTTAACTTCACATGTACAGGTCATGAGGCTTAAAAAGACTTTCTGTTGCTCTAGGGCAACACTGTGCTGTAGAGGTTTAAATGTTTGGAAGGGTTTCCAGGAGAAAGTCTCTTCTCTCTGAAAAGAAGTCTAAGCATGGGTTTGCAATGTTGCATCTGAACAAACCACAAGACTTCTGGAACAATGTCCTTTGGACAGACAAGACTAAAGTGAAGAAGTCTGCCCATGATGTACAGCACCATGTTTGTCAAAAACCACACTCAGCATATCAGCACAAACATCTAACATGAAGCATGGTTGTCGGTAGGTGATGATTAGTGCACATGGCCATAACCATGCTGTGTGGAACCTTAAGACATCTGTGCATTAAAAAAAGCCCTTTAAACATCAATGAACAGAATCAACATTGTAAAGAAGAGTGGACTAAATTCTTCCAAAGTCATGCAGAAAGCCAGTACTTCCAGCTGTTCCTAAAGGTGGTTCTACAACTTACAACTTTTCCTTTAAAAAAAACAAGATTTTCACCATAGCTGTGTGGACACCACTGTCTTGTTCTTCTTAGAGAAACATAGAAACAAACCCAAAGTGTATTGCTCAGCTTTCATATAATTTACAGCACATTTCCTTCATATCATACAGCCCCCTTCCTTCATTCAGCAGTTGGCCTTTTCAGCTTAAGTATTGTATTTTTCAAAGCAGTCACAGCTTGTTGGTGGCTTGTTTCCTGTCAGCTGCTTTAGCTGAACTGACCTTAACAGACTTTCCTCCTGGATCAGTCTTGTTGCTGTTAAATCTCTGAGTGAGCCCTTATATTATTTGCTGTACGTGGCTGTTAACAGGCAGATAAGGTTATATAAGGGATGAGAGGGAGAGGGGAAAGAAGTAAAAGAGCTGTTAAAAAATTAAAAGGGCGGGGTGAGTGAAACAGACAAGTGTTAAGTCAGTCCTAAGAGGTGATCTGTCTTAATTCTGTGGGCTAATGGAGGGCAAAGCCATTAAGTATGTAACGCGTACAGTGCCTGCTCTTGTTATTGTCACAGTCCATGTCCCCCCTACGTCCATGTATAACTTGCCTCTGGAAGGTTGACCTTCAGAACGGCCATGGGTGAAGTCGACATGTGTCTCTGACATCAGCTTGAGCCGTGGATTGGCATGGTTCAGAGGGATTTTCATGGTAAAGGCGGTATCTGCAGGGAAGTTACACAGTAGACAGAAAGGCTTCGGAGTGTTTGGTTAAAGGCATAGAAAAGAACAGGAAGGATGGCAGTGTAAGAGGATTGTGGGAAAATATACAGGCCTTGGCTACAAGTTGAAAGGGCAGGTAAAGAAAGGAAAATGGAGGAAGAGGGGTGTTATACACTTGGTAGGAGCAAAGGAAGACAGCCTCAAGATATTTTGGACAACAAATACCCGTCTCCCTGCCAGTACCTTTCAGAATGAGCAAGATTTCACTGAGGATGAGGATGATTAGTCTGACGGGTGTCAGACAGCCTAAGCTAACAATGAGTCAGGCCAAGAAGAACCCAGACACAAGTCTAAGAACAGTATGTGCCGGTTACCTAATCCACAGTGCTGCGATTAGAGAACAGAGACATACAGCATCTCTAAAGACCAAAATTCAAAGTCTAAGTCAAATGCTAAATCCTCAAGGGTAATGTTTAATTCATCTCTCACGTTCAGTTTCGCATCCTTTTTACTGGCTTAGCATGATCTGATTGAATGCAAGTGGAAACAGGTATGATGCAATATTGAACAGGCGACATTACACTGTGTCTTTTCTTCAATACTAGAAGGCATAACAGCAGGGAGGCAGAAGAATCCAGTAATCAATATTAATATTCCATCGCCACATAAATATTTCACTGGATGTTACAACTGTGTGTTCATTTTTCAAAGGATCTGTTACTTTCTTTGTTAAAATTGCCTCGATGGTCATTTGCTGTATTTGGATTCCTTCCAGCACTAGGAGCAGGCAATCAGCCTTTCAAACAGCGGTCAGAAACGAGACAGGAGGCTGGGAACAGATGATAATCTAGGGTCAGCGCCTGCAGGCTGAGAGTAGGGCAGCAGGAGACACTAGGCCTCAGTGTGGAGTAAAGGCTGCCGTGAGGTTAAAGAGATGCAAATGTGAAGTGCAGAGTATTAATTGAAGCACAGACGGAGTCAGACTGGGGGTTTCTAGATGAAGCATTTGAGGTCAGAGTGATTATAGAAAAACATGACATCGAAATGGATGACGCGCCTTGGATGTGTGCATGTTATGTATGTCAGATGCCCTCCTCGTTCCTTGACATAGAAACAGTATGTTGTGGATTTTGACTAGTTTCTGCAGTGCTGCAGCACAGCTCCCTGCTCCTCACTCTCATTCTCCCATTCCCCTCTATGTCCCCAATCCTCTTAGTCCTCCTGCAGCAGACAAAGAGGAATGCATTGCTGCTTTCACTCTTTGCTCCTCAGGGAGATGAAAAATCCCTTGCAGTTGCACTTTGCTGGCCTGTATTATTAGTACAGAGCCATTCAGCATTCAGCTGCATTGAACATTTCTACGTGTGTGTGTGTGTGTGTGTGTGTCTGTGTGTTTTACTAGCCTCTGCTTTGTCGAGTGATTTGTCTTGACAGTGCTCCCTTGGCCAGCCACAATGGTTACCCTGAGCTCTCTCGTGCTCTACACACACACACACAAACACACACACAATGCCAGTGCCGGATTATCCCCATCACGGATAGCCGTATTGGTGGACAAAAAGCCTAGAGGATACAAAAAGGGCATTATTAGGGAATTAGCAAACCAGTAGCCCACTTCTTATGTCATCCTCATCTTTCTTTTTTTTCAAAATCTTCAAATTATTGGGTATGTCACAAACACTATGCCATGCCTCAGAGCTGTGCTGTATGTCAGTTGGACATTTCATGCAGTAATACTACTTATCCTGTTGCAGAAAGCAGACCTGGCAGTTGCAGGCCTGACCATCACAGCAGAGCGTGAAAAGGTGATTGACTTCTCCAAGCCTTTCATGACCCTTGGTATCAGCATCATGTACCGCGTCCACCTGGTGAGTTAAGTCCCCCCGCACACACCTATTATACCTGATCGAACTGCCTCTCGTACAGCTTGCGGATAAACCACAGCAGGCTGTCAGGCATGTCTAATGCCTGGAAAAGAAGCACTCTGCCTTCTGGCCTGTAGAGTCTTTTTCTCTCTCTTAGTCCGTTTAAATTCCTCCACAACTTCTCCCCTTTTACACCTTATTGCCTCTTTACCTCTCAGCTACTCGTTTTCCCTTTCATCTGCATTTTTTCATGGGTCCTCTTCCTGCTTTACCCCCGTCCTCCAACATTACTTGCCACTTCATCCTTCTCCTCTGTGTCAAGTTCTTTTCATTTTTCCTTTGTCCACCCATTTCCTCCTTTTGTTTCCGTGCCCCCCCACCCCCCACCTCATTCTGCCAGCACCAGATGGCTCATTTTATGGCGTGAACTGAATGATAAATGTAACACTTTCACAGTTGTTTTCTGCTTGCTCTCTGATTGGATTTTGCCATCTTATTCTCACAAGCAATGCCCTCCATTCTCTGCAGAGAGCAAGTCCAAGCAAGAAATAGCGAAACAACAGCAGTGCTGGTGGAAATGAGCCAGTGTTTGCGCACTTAGTGGCCCATTAATCATCAGTCCTCCCCCAAAACCCAAGGTGACACTGTGGGGGCCACAGTGGCACTGGCCACAGTCTGTGCTGAGGTGATCTAGCACGTGCGCAGGCTAACATTAGTGTAGCATCCCAAAGGGGCATTTTACACACATTCCCATTCCATCTTGCTCCTGTCTCCACTACTTGTAAATCTCCCTCCGTGTCACCTTCCCGTAGTCTGTGCACAGTACGCATAGGTGAGGCAGTGAGGCACTCAATTGAGCGGCAACAGTTGGGGAGAATCAATCGACGTTCGCAGCAGGTGCAACGTTAAATGGGCTGCTGGGCAGCATGTGACCTCTGAATTGGGAAGCAGGCAGGCGGGTGGCAGCCTGAGGATATGATATGGAGCTTATGTCCCACAGGGTTGGCACACAGAGCCAGATAGTTGAATTAGCAGAGACTTGACCCAGTTGACGCCAAAATTCCTGAGTAAAGCGGTTTCTATTAAGATAAGATGTGTGAAGTCGGTAGAGGAAGGTGAAAAGATAAGAGGGAAAGAAGACAGGCATAAGTGCAGGTATCATCTCTCTTTGTCTCTTTCTCTGTCTCTCATTTCCTCACACTCTCTTTACTTTCACATTGCCCCTTGGCATTTTCTTAGATCCGATTCAGAGTGGTCCCTCAGCATGCTCTAAAATTCGATATTTGAATTTCTGTGACTGCACTTGTTTAGTTCTAATCCACTGACTATTGATCTGAGGCACAGTGATTTCTACAAGGGGGTATACTGCTTATTTCAAACTTTAAATGAAAATTTCAGTCCAATCAATAAGAATGGCGAATGCAATAAAATACAGCTGCCTGTTGGGTATTAATTATCCTCACACTATCGCCAGTTTAATCTCCATTTCTCTTCTTTGTCACAAGTATTGCATGTCTTTCTTACTCTCTCGCTCTCACACACACAGACACGCACACAGTTTTTTCGCTTTCATTATTTATTCTTATTTTATGTTTGTTGCGTTCAAAGCACACGTTTACATTCTTTTCAGCGAAGGCGATAGCTTTAACGTCAGGCGTAATCCTGTTACAAAGCTGCTGAAAATGTACATTTCCTGTTTGAAACACAGGTGCAGATTTGAACTAACACTTCACTGCCTCCACCCCCTCCCACACCCACACCCCAAACCCCCTCCCTTGCCCTCCACACCACCCACCCACCCACCCAGCCACTACAACAACTGTCACAGACAAGTTTTCTGTGGAGTGTTCAAAATTGCAGCAAATCAGAACATTTAATCACCTGTCAAATGAGTTTGCGTCTTCGTGCTATTCTCTGAAGGGACCGCTGTCTGTTATCATTTCTGGGACACTAACTCTGCAATAAATATAACTAAAAAAAAAATCCAGACAGCTTGCATCTTGCCTGCATAAGAAGAGCACTACCTGTCTATATGTTTCAGCTGTCTCGCCTGAATGTTTTGCTATTCGAGGCCATATAGTGTATTTTATATGGTGGGGTATTTGACATGCATGTAGCTTCAGGCCCTATAAATAAAACGGATTTGCTTCATACACAAATCAAAGAGAAGCCGGTGCAATATGAATCACTGCGGTTATGAACCCAGACACTACCTAAAGCGACTGTCAGCTTCATCTCATAAAAACCTTTCGTTGTCTTGCATTCATCATCTGTACAATATAAAAACCATATGCTGCATGCCAAAATCCCAGCACTGTGAGCGTCTTTAAATCTGTGCCGGTTCCATCTCCATTAATTCGCTGACTGTGTAACAAAGTATATGAGTGGATGTGTGCATGTTTGTGTGTATAAGAGAAAGAGTGCCACTTAATTAGACATACGGGTTAATTAGGGGTGTGTAGAAGCTGTGTCAGATTCAGCAGCTGCCCTGAGGGTAGAGTGTAGTATAACGAGCTTTATTGACTCACTGGCCACAGAAGTCCTCAGACAAAATTACATAAACAAATGAAACCCTGTGCACAGAAACACAGACGCAGCTCGTGGAATTTAAAAACTTACCAGTTATGTTATTTAGGGTTATTTTTAAATGCAGTTTTTTTCCATAATAAATCAATATTAAATTTAACACTAAACAGTAGGTTGTGTAATATCATTAAATTGTGTATATATGTGCTTGCCAAGCACTTTGTTCGCTGTGCAACTGCTCATTAATGCACAGGCTCTAATCAGCCACTCACATGCAGCAGCTACATACATTTAAGGATGTAGATATTCTAAAAAAAGACCTGTTGAAGTTAAAAACTGGGCATCAGAATGGGCTACATCAGCAGAAGACCATACCGAGGTCCCACTCCTCTCAACTAGCATAAAGAAACTGAGCCAATCAATCATACAGGTTCAACATGCTGGTAGTGTGATGGTGTGGAGGATATTTTCTTATCATCGTTTGGTCCCTTTAGTACAAACTGAGTATTGTTTGCGACCATGTCCATCCCTTTATGACCGTTGTGCATTCATCCTCTGCGGGTTCCTTCCCACAGGATAATGTGTCGCGTCACAAATGTCAGATCATCTCAGACTGGTTTCAGATGTGGGATCATCTTGATACAGAACAGAACAAAAGGCTGCCAACATCAAGAGAAGAGCTTTGAATATCTTCCATGAAGCCTGGGGAACTATTCCTGAAGACTCCTTAGGAGAAAGTTCAGGGTGAAGAATAAAGCTGCTCATATCAAATGTTGACTTTCAAGCTCGTTAGGAATGTTTTTGCCTTTTAGATTGTATTTCCGTGGATGCATGTGTTTCATTAAACCGCTCTACCTATTTCCCATTTTCCTAGCAACATACAAAGAAATAAGGGGTGTCTTGAGACTTTTGCACTAGACTGGAAGTTTTATTCTTTTATTTTGAAAGTAACCCTAAAACTAGTAGTGATGTGTCTTTTTTTTTTTTTAGTTATGTTAGAAGAGTTTCAGCAAACACAAAAGCACAGCTTTGTTTGTGTGCGACTCACTCAGACATAAAGCCAGACAACCCGGTGAGCTCAAGAGGCAGCAGGATGTTGTTATGAATATGACCCTGTGACCTCAGCCAAATCAACTGCTCTCCACAGATTGCCCCCGCGGCCATCTCAGCAGCCGTAACAACTGACAGCTCTAACACAATTAGAAATGCACACACTATCAAAGAGCTTAGGGGGGAATGGCAGAACAGAGACACAGGGAGGGACAGGAAGAAAGACGACATAAAAGAGAATAAGCAAGAAATAGGTAGAAGGACATGAGGGAAGATGGAGAAATGAGAGCAAGGAAGTGAGCGACGAGAGTGTGAGAGCTGAAAATGACAACGGGAAGTCTCCTTCGGAGAGTCAGTGTTCAGGCAGGAAGCCTCAGGGAGCAACGGTGTGGTATGAATACCAAGAGGAAAGATGACTAGGTGAAATCCTCAACTGGATAACCTCACCGGCTCCCTCTGCCACCCTCCTGGCATGTAGGCAGTCCCCCGAGAGTAACGGAGAGGGGGAGAAGCGGAAAATATGGAGGGACAGCGGGAAGTTGAGAGAGAACAAGGGCAGTGCAAGGTAAAAAGAATGAGTTTTTCATCTGTGTGTTGAGATGAAAAAAGGACACATAGCTACTAAAAAAGGCAGCAATTTTTCACTATTTTATTTGTTGAGATGGACTCATAAAAGCAGGTCTTAGAGGATGTTTTGCCCTCTGTGCCACAGGTGCATTATTTTACTTCCTGGGATTTGCCTCATCCCATATATATCATCTTAACATGGCCATAAAACTGCTATAAAATGATACCCCTGACTCTGATAAAAATCATTCAAATATGGCAGCAAGTACTTACGCTGTGAAGAGACACTCATCCAGTAAACATCTAATTTGGTCCTTGGTGTACTCTGTTTATATTTTATTACTTTGTTAATTATTTTCTAGTTCTAGTCTACACTTCATCGGCAACTTTGTGAGGTACAGTCATTCGAAGGCTTGTGCAAATGCAAATATCTAATCAGCCAATGCACAACACATTTAACCTTGAAGCAGATGGGCTACAACAGCAGAAGACCACATCGGGTCACCCACTCCTGTCAGCGAAGAACAGGAAAATGAGGCCACTGTTTCCACCAGCTTACTAGATGAACATTGTTCGGTATAATTTCTACTGCAATATTCGAATGGTACAGAAACAAAAGCATGGCTCCATCCTCCCTTCTGTCAGTGGTTCAGGCTGCTCATGATGGTCTAATGGTGTGGAAGATATTTTTCTTGGCACTCTTTTTTTAAACACCAACTGGTTTTAAACATCACAATGAGTTCACTGAACTTAAATGACCCCCAAAAAGTCACCAGATCTCCATCCCATAGAGCACCTTACAGATGTGGTGGAATGGGGGATTTTTATCATGATGTGCAACCGACGTTAGCGGTGCTATCATGTCATTATGGACCAGAATCCCTGATGAATATTTCAGGCACCCTGCTGAATCTACATCATGAGGAATTAAGGCACTTGTGCAGGCAAAAAGGTGGTCCAAACCAGTATTAGCAGGGTGTACTTCATATAGAGTCCAGTGAGTGTATATCTTCTATTTAACAGTAACTACTGGATTAGTCACGGATGCTGTGCTTTCCTTAGCCAGCAGTCAATGTGCTTTTCTGTGCTGAGTGGTGGGTGCTCCCTGTGCAGTTGCCCAAGCACATACTGTATCTGCCCTGCTGTGGATGACTGACAGTTTAGACAGATGCTGACAAGATTAGAAACACAGGCACACACACAAACACACAGGTGCTTGACAGTCTGTCATGCACACACAGACTCATCGTCCAATATAAAGAGAGACTGGACCACCTAAATAAGATTGTGATGTAAAGTATGTCTCTGAGAAATTACTAAAAACATTTAGTATTTGCATGCATAATTTATTTATGAATAAATGAATGAAAAATAGGTAAACCCTTGTATATGTTCTGCTTTATAATTTCCTTACATCACTGGAAATCCTGAGTCACCCTGCCCCGTGAGGCACTTCTCCTCAAACAATGTTTAGTGGTTCGCACAGCAGTTTGTGGCACAGCAATTTTGAACCCATCTTGATTGATTTCTTTTGGCAGCACAGCGAGCATTTACATAGTAAGCACTTGATAAAGGTGGTATATCCAATATGTTAGAAAACAGCTGCCTATTTACCCATCCGACAGGTCCCAAGTACCATTAGCATTCACTTGCATTTCCCTTTCCAGCAATTTGTCAAATGTAAGTCCAGTAGTCATTGCTTTACCGCTGTTTTGGTCCACACCAACTCCGGGGGGTGAAATATGGCTCCTTAGCTGTTAAACGCTCTGCTATTGTGGTGCAGATTGTATTCATGAGAACAGGAGCAGAGAGGAAATAAGGTAGTTAAGATCAGCGCGAGTGAGCCAAAACAGTAAAGTTGGCAAGGTAAAATAAAAGCACTGCACCGAAAGGTGTTAAAGCACTGCTGAGCTGTGTGTAGCTTTAATCGAGTGATCACACACCATGTTTTTCCATGTCACAAGATCATCATTAAATAGAGTTTCATTAAGCTTGCTCTTTCTAGTCCTTAGTTTGATCTAAAATGTTTTAATACAGAAAAAAAATGAATAAACTATCTTATCTTTGGAAATATGCACACAGATTTTAAAACATTTTCATGCAGTTTCCATTTAGCTTATCTGAAGCTTTGTGTGCTCATTAATTTGTCTACTCCAGCTATGGATTGTTCCAGTTTCTAACTCTTAAAAAAAAAGTAAAACACTTTTGTCTCTTAGTCTCAAAGCCAATACATAAAAGCAGCAAAGTCGAGCTTTCTAAGCAGCAAACCTCCTACTGTTTTCCTGTTGTCCTTGTAATCTTCCTGTTGTCTCGTCCTAGCTTTCTCTCCGTCTCTATTTCTGAGTTGCTCTCTTGCACCTTCACTTCACTCTGCCATCTGTTAGCACACTAGTCCCACGTCTCTGCAGTGATCTTCATCTTAATAATAGCACCTTGGTGAAAACTTAACATGTGGACGAGCATGCCCAGCAGTTCACGAAGCGCTGGGTCAGCATGCATCAAACTGGACCAGCAAAACAGGAGGACTCATGTCAGCACATACTGCTGCTACTCCAGTAATGCCAGTGCCAACCGAAGGCAGCCTGGCACTGATGCTCACTTTACAACATGAATCTATACCTCTGACATGGCCATGGTGTGTTTCAGCTCTGCACTATTCCATTCTCAGACAGCTATCGCCATCGTCATAAGCAATTACACTCTATAACGTGGACTGACATACGCTATGAGTGGCAGGCTGATTCGAATCTTGCTCAGAGTTATTCGGCAACTCTCTCCCCCTGCTTCTCCTGCTTTCTGCACCACTCCTATTTTACACAGTCAGGCTAATATGCAAGTGATTACAGACGCATTAATGAATTTTCATCTCCGCACAACTCTGAATGGGGATTCGTTTATCATAACAAATGCCCACCAAAATAATTTCAGCCTCTTTGCCTCAAATTAAATTTTGGAGGGCCTCAGAAATGTATTACTGCAGCGTTTTGGCACGCAGGAGGTCTGGCAGGAATACTTAATTGGGTATTTATTTCTTTAATTTTTTTTGCATAAATGCAATTTGGGCTTGTTCACGTGGACTCCACGGCGGTGCCTTTGACACAGAAATGGACAATGAGGAATTTCTACACGACTAAACGTGTCCCTCTCATAGCAACACTTAGACAGTTGGTTGTTTGATCACCTCCATTATCTAAGCGTCCTGCTGGCCCTGACAGCCACCTCCATTTCATAGTCATTAACAGGCGGCGGACGTGCACTTGTGTGTAAATGGCTAATATTCCCCTGCTGACATTCGGTCGGGAAGGGTCTAAGCTTAGCGTGCGCATGTGAAATATGAGCAGGCACAAACACACATATAAACAAGCGGGCCCAATCATCCTGGCTCTGGTTCACCGGTAATTGGTTTCATTTAGAGGACAATGTTGCATAATGAAACATTAGGAATTAGCCCCTATATTCCCATCGCTCTACTGGCTGCCAACCTCATTTTAGCCATGTTATCTCCTGGTTACCAATGCACATTTATATGCAACACCCCATAGCTGCTTCAGCACAACTAGCTTTTTTAGCGAAGCCTGAGCTATTAATCCCCCCCCCCCACCTGTGTACACTGCAAGTACACAGGTGGGGTACTGCAAGTCAACTATAGGTCATGGAATTGAATTTGTCTTTAATGTGGTTCTAATGGTTTAGCTGATTATTTGACATTTCTCTCTCTCTACATGCAGACTTGTAGAGAGTAAAAATGTTGCCTTTTGTTAGTTTTGACCTCTGATTTTTCTGTACGACTAAACCTAATAATGTATCTATCACAGCTTGTTGGAAGTTGTGAGAATTTTTTTTTCAGTGTTGGAATGCGGGATATAAACCTCTTATCAGTGATGTCGTATTATCATACAGGCCTCTGCCACTCTATTGACAGTTCATGGGAGACTGAGTTTGCGCTTTCATACAGTGCTGATCTGAATGTTTACATGCAAATGAGATTGGTATAATTAAAGTGCTATCAGTTTAGGACAGAGAAAACCTATGCTTATCGCATCAAAATCCGTTTATTTGCGGTCACAGTCACCTTTTCCATCTTCTCCAAATTACACAGGCACCAATAAATGTTGGTCAACACGCACCGAACTGGAGGTGGGAAGAAAGGGAAACAGAACTGAAATGCAGCAATCATCACCTTTTCTATGTTTCCTTCTTTAGTTTATGTCCAAGGAGACCAGTCATTCTGTGTGTGTTGTCTTCCAGGGACGTAGGCCAGGCTACTTCTCCTTCCTGGATCCCTTCTCACCGGGTGTTTGGCTCTTCATGCTTCTGGCCTACTTGGCTGTCAGTTGCATTCTCTTTCTGGTGGCCAGGTAAGGAGCTCAACCATAAAATGCAGTCTGTACAGATAAGCGAGAGACAGGAGAAGAATGAGGCAAACAAATGGACTTGGTACAGAGAGTAAAAGCACACAAAAAAAACGTTTCTTTGGGCAATATACGGCGGAGGAAACAGGTGTTTGTTCTCTCGCTTCTCTTTAGCCTCTGGTTGATCTTGAACATCACAGAGGAAGAGATGTTCTCCACCAGTGGCAGGTCTCTAGCATCACATTGCCACCTGCTGGTCAAGGATGACACTGCCACAACTGCTGCTGAAAATCATAATTTCCTTTGCAATGGAAATATTACTAGGTTACAGTATATCTAATGAAGACGCTTTAATGCAAGAAAATGTTAATTGAATTCTGCAGCACCTTACAGAATCAAATTAAAAGTACCAAGACCTTCAAATTTACCAGGTTTCTAAAGATAGCTCTACGGGTGGTCTTTGGTGTAATATGAAAATCATTTATAAATGTTGGGTGAGGTGGTTTGATCGTAGCAGTTTTGGAGATAATAATATATGTACTCCTTTTTTTAGGTGGAATAATTTTTCCACCCATGATCACAGTGGGCAATATGGTAAACGTCTGGGTTGTTTAAAGTTTTTTGTCCTTCTTTTGAACTTTGTTGTAATTATTTGTGACTCAGAAAAAAATTCTATCTTTGCCATGTGAGTCACAGGGCTCGTCGACTCAACCCAGCACAGAACACAGTTGTCACAGAACTGTAGCTACATCTGAGCACCCCAATTACACCGCCTGCATCCTCACAGTTTAAGTAGGCAGAAGCGAAGCACAGGTTGGTTCTCGCTCTGCAGAGCCAAGGTGACTTTGTCCTCACTTGACTGAGTTGTTTTCTCCGCAACCCTCATTTCTCTTCCTATCTCCATTCCTCTCACTCCCCGTCTCTTGAGTTTTGCTCTTATCAGAATACATAATCTAACTTTCATTCCCACTCTCTCTTTCCCCACAGGCTGACACCTTATGAATGGTACAACCCCCACCCTTGTTTAAAGGGACGCTGCAACCTGCTGATCAACCAGTACTCGCTTGGCAACAGCTTCTGGTTCCCAGTTGGAGGCTTCATGCAGCAAGGATCCACCATTGCTCCTAGAGCTCTGTCCACACGTTGTGTGAGCGGAGTGTGGTTAGTATTGGCTCCAGATGCGCGGTGCAATGCGCAGGTTTCTCCATCACGGAATGCAATTCATCAGTAACGCATTCTTGAAGCTTAATTCCAGATTTCAAGAGTGAGATTGTGCATTTGTGTGCACACGAGGCATCGTTTGTGTCTGTCTGTCCGCCTTTGCAGCTAGAACTTTATCCACCCATTAATCCATCCGCCATATCATCTACTGAATATCCTGTCATGTCTTCTCCTCTCAGGTGCGCAGTTATTTTAATCCTTCTACACCTCCACCCAGATCATTTATCTTCATGTGTCAGCCTGCCCATTTACATACCTTTGCAGGTGAATACATATGTTCTTGTCCGCTGCCTTTCCCACACAGGTGGGCCTTCACATTAATCATCATCTCCTCCTACACCGCCAACCTGGCCGCCTTCCTAACAGTGCAGAGGATGGAGGTACCGATAGAGTCAGTAGATGATCTGGCAGATCAGACGGCGATAGAATATGGCACCATGCACGGTGGATCCACGATGACCTTCTTCCAGGTTAGAAGTTACACACATTGCTGTATATGCCACATTGTTTATCCTCCTAAATCTTCACTCACACATACATACACACTGTATGTAGGCACACTCACTTCAGAGCACATGGAAGTCAATGGGTCATCTGTGATCAGCTATCAGCTGTCCTTTTCGTCACCCTCCTGTCCTTTATGTCTTCCTCCTCTAACCACGGGTTTTATCTGTTTGCTGTCTCTTTTTTGCCACAACCATTCAATATCCTTCTCCTCGGGGAGATGGGGCACCGTCCAGGTCCCACGCTATCCTCTTTCATCTTTTGAGATTTGACCTCAGCGAGAAAAAGAGAAAGACACTGAGCAGGAGAAAAAGAGGGTGTTAGAGGGGAGAGAGACAGTGAAGGATGATATTGGGCGAAGGGAAGAGAGATATTAGCCTTGTATTCCTTGGCGCTTTCAAGTCCACTGGACCTTAAATAACTCAGGGAAGACAGGCTGAGAGAAAGTAAAAGACAGGTGGAGGTGTTAAGTGAAGTTTCTGTTCTGAAGTTTCTCAAATGGGAAAGAGGTGCGCTAATAGAAAAAAAAAAAAGGGGGGGGGGGGGGGGGGGGGGAGCGCTCTGATGTAACACTCCATCAGTCAAAAAAAAAGCAAACCAAACCAAACCAGAAGAGGAGATGCTTTGTTAACTGTCTCTCACTCTCTGTGCCTGTTTCTTCTGATCTTCTCTGCTCTTTCGCGCCTGTGCAGAACTCCCGCTACCAGACGTACCAGCGCATGTGGAACTTCATGCAATCAAAGCAGCCCAGCGTGTTTGTGAAGAGCACAGAGGAGGGGATTGCCCGTGTCCTCAACTCTAACTACGCCTACTTGCTGGAGAGCACGATGAATGAGTACTACCGCCAGAGGAACTGCAACCTGACTCAGATTGGAGGACTGTTGGACACTAAGGGCTATGGTATCGGCATGCCGCTGGGTGAGTGGAGGACAAAGTGTTGAAAATTGGAGGACACTTGAAAGTGACGGATAAGTAAAAGAAGGAGAAACTTGGTCAAGAAGTTGAAACATCTGATACAAGTCGCAGAGAGACAGAAGCCAGTTTGCCGGAGTAATGCGGGGGCAAGGCAGTTAGTGTAAAACGAAGTCAACGGAGGAGAGAGCTGATGGTTTCGCTTAAATGTGCTGTATAATTCATTCCCCTTCTTAGTGAAGCTAAGACAGGGAATGAAGAGCAGAGGCATTAGTTGGAGGATACACCATAAACATCACATTGGAGAGTTGAATAAAAAAGTAAAGCCTCAGCAAAGCCAAACCATTAGCTGTTATCATGGGGCAAAATGATGCAAAAAGGGAGAAACTAAGAGAGCGTTCATGCTAGATTTTAATAGAGCAGCTGTTGCCATGCTGTGATGGGAAAAGTGAGGACAAGAGCGAGGGAATTTGAGATATTGTTCCTGTGAAATGTGAAACAGTTTCTGCGCGACGCTCGCTCGCTGCTCCAAGAGTATAAACACGGGGTTTACTTACACTTTGATCTCAGATTGAGTCAAACACACCTTAAAGTAAACAAGATTAATTTCCATTCCTTTGATGTTTAAAGGATAGATAAGCCATCTTTTTAGTGGATGATGGTGCCGTGACCTGTAAAACATTGGAAGATCATTGTAAGCTCCTTAATCTCAGGTTTGAAATCTTCGTTTTGTTGGTTCGGGCAAAACGTGGTGAAGTGACGCGCTCTCACATTTGCCACGGCATACCAGAGGAAAAGGAAGAAGAAGAAGTCAAGGAAATGTCACTCTTCGTTTGTACCGTGTCCCTCGTTTACTTTTCTCTTCCCTTCAGGGTCAGTGTACCGTGACGAGTTCGACCTAGCCATCCTCAAACTGCAGGAGGACAATCGTTTGGAGATCCTGAAGAGGAAGTGGTGGGATGGCGGCAAGTGTCCAAAAGAGGAGGACCACCGTGCTAAAGGTTTGTCTCTGAAGTTAAATCCACATCTTGGTTGATGATCCCAGAAAACACTTATCCCGCCCAATCCCGGCATCTCTCCAGGTCTAGGAATGGAGAACATCGGGGGCATCTTTGTGGTGCTGGTGTGTGGCCTGCTGGTGGCAATCTTCATGGCAGTGCTGGAGTTTGTCTGGATGTTAAGGCACGCGCCAGGAAATGAGGTGAGAGAGGGCTATCTAACCTGCATCTGCTTTGTCTCCCTCTCCCCTCCCTGGCACCTTCCCCCTCGCGGAGCTGCTAGGCTTTTCCACAGTGCGCAGCTTTGACAGGAAGTTATGAGCACAAACCAAAGTAATACCTCGTATGTTTTTTGTATTCATAGCAGAGAAGCATCCATTCTTACCATATATATATTACACAGAATAATCAAACTGTACAGTAAAAAAAATGATCTTGTTTTAGTTATATTTACAGGGTGCTGCAAATCTTTATCTCAGCCTTAATCTAGTGACCTTATTTAAAACACACTCGCTGTTGTGTCCACGATTGTCAAAAACTACATGTCCTTCTCACCATCAGCAGTTGAAATATGGACAGTAGAGGATTAGTCGTGGCAGTCAACTAGAACTTTGCGCTAAGAATGGACTTCAAGCAAGGGCATCACATTTGTTTTGGAAGCAAAAAGAAAAAGACAATGCTTTCTGGAAATGTCAGGACCAAGAGTCACTACAGCTTGGTCACACGATGTTGGTTATTCAAAGTAACAGGGGACAAAACAATGATAAATGACACCTGAAACACTTAAAAGTGCCACGCTATGATTTGAAAGTTGCTGATACAGAAGCAAAATCACCAGCCAATAATGCAAATATTTCAAACTGCATCAGCACATTAGCTGTCCTCTGAGGCTGAAGACAGACCTGCATTAATACAACCTCTTAAACAGCAACTTTAAAAATATTTTTTTCTAATGATTTCTACTTAGGTAGGAAGGAATTTAGATGCATTTTTTTAACTGGCGAAAGTTGAAAGTGCTTTTGAAAATTATGCTGAAAGTGTGTGGTATTGTAATCCAGTATGAAAATATGATTTCAATGTAGCTTCATCTGGAGAGAGCACTAGCAAGCAACATGAGTGTCCTCAGCATCCAGATGTTCTGCTGTTTGGAGGATTTTATTTATTTATTTTTTATTTACAATAGACAGATTAGTTTAGTGCTAGTGGAAGGGGCTCTCCTGCAATATTCATGAGGGAGGACTGCTGTCAACCACAAAAGATGACTTGAAGAATCAGAGAAAAATGTGCATGCAGTGATATCATTACCTACGATGTGATTTCTTTAACAGATACTTGAATACTATTTGGCACTGTGATTTTAACTCAATAAACATTCAGAAAGTCAAAAAACCCACTCATGTGATTTCTTCTTTTGGAGCAGTACAGATTGATGTCTCACTCTAAATTGTGAACCCTGTGTGTGTTTGTGTGTGCGGATCTATATATGTATCGTTCATATTTGTGCATCTGGATTTACGCCTGTGTGCATCTGTACAGTGTTCGTGTGCAGCTTGTGTGGATTGGTTATGAGTTTCTTTTCCGTCTTGTGCTTGAGCTGCGGTGTCACGTCTGTGATTGTGATTATTTGAGTTTATATCCTTGTGTTACACCCAGCGGATCACTCGATCACCAGTCCCGGCGATAAAATGCGTGTGCTACACTTGTGGATGTGAAAAGTAAATTTAACAAGCCCGTGTGTATTATATGTGTCGCTGATTTCACTGCTGGCCGCTCAGTCTGCACCAGCCTTTTAACCGTCACCCATGCAATTTACCTATTATGAACATAACCCTGAAATGTATCTGTTGTGTGTCTTTGATGTCACTCCGTCTGTCCTGATCGAGTCCATAGTCAGTGAGTTGTCTGGCCTCTCTCTCTTTCTCTCCCTCTCTTATTCCCCTCTGCCCTATCTTTGTTTTCTTCCCGTGTGTGTGCTTGCAGCAGTCAGTGTGTGAGGAGATGCTGCGGGAGCTCCAGGGGATCGTTCTGTGTCGCGACAGCCTGCAGGCGAGGCGCCGCCGGGCGGCGTCAATGCTGCGGCCACGGCCCTTACCTCTGGAGGAACGTCGGGCGCGAGCTGCCGCTGTCAGCCTCAGCAACGGAAAACTGTGCGGGGGCACGGGACTGCCTGAACCCCTTTCCCACAGACTGGCGCAGGAGGCTGCCCTGGTCGCGAGGGGGTGCAGCCACATCCGCATTTGTCCCGAGTGCAGACGCTTCCAAGGACTGAGGATGCGCCCCACAGGGGGCCCAGGGGCCCTCCCATCTCCCACTCACAGCGAGGAGAGCATAGAGTGGGACAAGACCACAAATAGCAGTGAACCTGAATAACGCCCCACAATTCCAGCAGGACTGCCTTTCCCAGCAGTCACCTCTCTTCTTTCCAGGGATCAAAGATCATGTGGCATTTTAATTCTGCCATCCAGAGTTTATCCTTAAAGGACAGGACAATGCTGTGGACTTTCTTTTACCCCTGAGGCAACCGCCAGCAGTGAGTTTTTGGAATCTCTCCTTGGGCGAACTTTTTCCTTGGTCATAGGAAAAACTGATGAGTCTGTCTCGTTGTGGTCTGTCCCTGGTGGCCCTCTGTACCGTGTAAAACAGGACAGACAAAAACAGCTACGGGGCATTTGTACTATGCAGTATTTCCAGTCATTTATCATTGTGCTGTTTCTTTTCTTTCCTTTTTAAATTATTTCTGTCCTCTGTTGGATTATCAGTACTGAATATTGTTATTCTATTGTTAAAAAAAAAACAAAAACTTTAAACAAGGTCCTTTTTTTATCTGACAATTTACTCTAGGAACGTATATTGCCTCTGAAGAGCTGGAGAGTCGGACAGATTAAGGCAAGGTCAACCTTCACGTTCTCTTGTTTTGAAAGTGCCAAAAACCACAAGCATCATCTTGTGGCTGAAGAAAGCACCACAGCCTTGAGAAGACGGCAAACTCATGTGAACATAGAAAACAAAAGGACAGATATGCGGACACAAAGACTCCTTTTATAGTAGTGATATTCTATTAAAAAATGTTTTAACTGTTGGGATCTCTGAAAGACAGTGATGCATGTCCAGAGGTGTTGGCCAGTGCTCACTGAATGAGTCATCCTGAAGTGGTTCTAGGGTAGTCAAGTCAACTTAAAGAAGGATTTTCTCTTTTGAATACCTGCTTAAAAACATGATGTCTACGCACACAAACGTACATGCACAGAGACATCCTCTTATATCATCCCTCTTCTGTGCACTGACATTACCTTCTCCTCCATCTGTCCTCCATATCTGACACATTTCTTGTCCTTGCACCAGTCCCCTTTATGCTCTCTTGCTTACAAATATATCCATTGTAAGTTATAAGACATCATTTTTTTTCTTTTTTTTCCAGCTTACATATTCAGTATGTGTATCAAACCCAGCATATATTAGAATCAACCAAAAACAAAGTCCTCGGTAGAGTGAAGGGATTTTTATATCAGCAGTTGTCTTGGCTTGTTTTAAATGTCAGCGCAGTTAAACTTTTATTGAAAGGGATATTTTACACACTGCTCGGAGGAGACAGCCTAGGTGCACTCTGACATTTTGATACTATAATTTTTGCGAAAAAACCCCAAACCAAACTTAGAATACATTAACCAGGCTAAAACGTGGCGGATATTTAATGCAAAGTGATGCAGGAGGAGCTGAAACACACTTATTTTTCCTTTCCCCACTACCAAAGTATTTGAAATGATTAAAGTCAGTTACCTTGATTTGCTTTGCGTCAGCCATAACTTGAAGAAGTGAGGTAACGAGAATCTACCACCAGCAGCACGAGTCTTAAAATCGCCTCACTTTCTGCTCGCATTACAGAGACATGTGGCTTATTTTCCTGCTGTACCGGCTGGTTTGAAGGTGTTTCTGTACGATAGCCCGACCGTTTCACAGCGAGAATCAACGGTCATCCAGCTGTCTGCTCCGCTTCTTGCTTATCTTTGATGTGCCCATCATTTTAAATCTGCCCATCAGGTTCTGTCAATCACCATCCCTCAAAACCAGGCTGCCAACTCGACACAGCTTGAAGGTACCGCTGCAGCGTCTCTTGTTCTTTTATTAGCCACGGAAGCTTTCTGCCTCCATCCTTTTTCATCCGCAGGTTTTCATGCTTGGAAATTCATGCATATTATCATTTATCATCCTGTAGTAGAACGCAACATATTTTGATCACTCTGTCGTTTAAATGAACATTTCATATTCGTGGCAACAAACTCTGCACATCTTCAAATACAGTACATCTAATCCCCCAGTAAGAAGCTGCTGTGTTATCGACCCACAGAATTGTGTGTATTTACAGTATAATCATCGATATAATCATGGAGGTGCCCGGTAATGTGTGTTTTATTATTGCAGCAGTAAACTCATTTGGTGTTCATTATGTTCATAGGACAAAGAGATGCGCACTTAGGTGTGTGCAGTGATTTAATGGAAACATTTAAACACACACAGACACACACCATGCAGAGTCATTCCCAGGATCCTCACAAACAGTTAATGTACACTTTCTGTAGCTCCATATATAATAACAGGTTTAAATCAAATTGCCAAGCAGATGGCAAAGAAAGAAGACCCACAATTCATTGTTTTTTTAATGAAAGGTATTTCTATCCATTTGCCGAATGTCCCTAAGAAACTCGTGAGAGCTTGAAGGCTCTCGCTGCTCTCAGTGCTAACTTCTTAAACACTCAAAACATTTACAGGGGGTGCTAAATCAAGCGTAGTTGGAATGAGATTGCCAATTACCTTGAAGGCACGAAGAGCAGTAGAGTAAGAATTAAAACAAATCCCACAGAAACACTGGGCGACCTTCTCTGGGAGACCACTGAGAGAGACGGCTCGGTTTGGCTGCTATGTTTTATATGCTTTATTTTTCTTATGTTGACATTTTTATTCCATTATAAATACATTTCTTAAAACAACCTCAATTCTCTGGGATTGCTGGCTTTGTCTCCTTTGTTTTTTGTTCTGCTGTGATGTATTTGACCTTCTGGGCTGTTTAGATATGTCATGCTAAATAGCTTCTGAGTGCGCTTTCTTTCTATTTTTTTGTTTTTTGGGGGTTTGTTTTAGGTGAGGAGGGGGGCATTATACAACCGGGAGAAATATGCAGAGCACGCAGCTGCTTTGTTGTGACATATACGCATGCAGAGAAGCATCAGGGACGTATGGGTTTCTGGATGAGTACACAGAACAACTATCGAGTGAACCAGAAGGATCTGATGCACCCACGTCTCGTTTCTCCCCCATAACTGAATTAACGTCTGCTCACTCGTGAATCCTTTGAACAGCTGAGAATTTGTGTGGGTAGGCAGTCTAACAGAGGCTAATGAGTTTAACAGCTCGCTCATGTGCTGTATAAGCGTCCACTCACTCGTAGCCCATCTATCACTGTGATTTTTCAGTGGATATTTCCGTCTCCTCGGGACAGTGATTGAACGCCACACAACACCCTTGGTCTGATTTATACTTGAATTCAGACTGCATCTCCCTCTCCTCTCTCCTCCTCGAGTGCCTGCCTCACAATCTTCCCATTGCAGCGTTAGAGATGACAAGTTTTCTTTTCAGTTTGTCACCACCCACAGCACGCACACACATGCATTAAAAGCGTGACACACTAAACACTCACCGCCACCTGTATGTCACAGCTGTGTCAACTTTATTTTATCGTGCTCGTGCTTTTTCTTTTTACCCCTGGTGCTCCAGGTTCATGAATTAAGCGCATCTCTACCCACCCTCTGCCTAGCTGCTGTTGGATTTATGGAGCACATGATGAGCATTGAGTGCCTGCAGAGGTGGGTGAACAATCTACTTCACTCCTCGAGCTCACCCAGCTGTAGCACATAGCAATACCAGTTTCCTTGTAGTTGATTGCTGTCGTGCAAGGATTAAGGAATTACAGTGTACCGTGTAGTCACCCTAACAGCTAACATCCACATACACTTGGAAGAATAGCTTGTTCCATGTTTGTTTTTTGCTTCTTTTTGGGGGGGGAAACCTGCCTATAACATTTTGGGATATTGAGATTATTTAAAAAATATATATATATATTGTCTATACTGTTGCATTTAGTATGACTTGACTGCCTTTTTAAAATGGTAATTATTGAATCTATTCATTTTATTCCTGCTAATATTGCATCCCTCTGTCAAACAATTGCTTTTTCCTGGCAGTATTCATAACAGTATTCAAGACAGAAAGGCACTGCTACACATTTTTTAGTAAGCGCTTTCCTGCTGATTTTATTATTTGCAATTAAGTGATTGCAATTATTTGCAGAAGGCTTCTTGTTGTTGTGTGCTCAAAGAAAAGGTATTCAGATTGCAGAAATTCTCTACAAGGTGAGACGCTGTCAGGGCTGTTATACAGCCTTTTGTTCGCTGACAGTTGTTGAACATATTGACCAAGACATCTTGACATTGTTTGTCTTTCAGAGAAATAAAATGGAGCTTCATTTCCTTTGTGTTTGTTCCCTCACTTTTCACTCCTGCCTTGATCGATGCCTCACAGAAGAGGAGGCACTGATCACCTATTTGTGTGCGAGCGGGTGGGCTAGAGAGAGCGTGCGTTTTGTGGGTTTTCTTTTTTTTGTCCTATGTGATTTCTCTCATGCTCTTGGCAACACAGGAAATCACAGCCTTGACATTTTGCTGTATTGTTACCCACATACTTGACAAAGGTGGTACACAGCCAAGTCAAATTCCAGTGGAAGCGTAGCCGACAGCGCTCTTTGTCACATACCCACCAGAAAAATGAAAGTAGAATCCTGTTCTTACAGAAATCCGTCACGTGGGTACTTAATAACAAAAACCAGGCTGGATTTTGATTTTTGCTAATAGTGAGTTACAAAAGTCATTTGTTTTGGCCAGATCGCTGGTCTTTGCTGACCCTGGATGAAGGTTTCAATGACAAAGATAAATATCAGTCCATTTCTGTAATGGCTCCATCATTTGCACAGCATCGTTTGTCTTTGGGCGAATGCTCCGGTGCCAGAGTTCAAATTAGAATCTGTTCATTAATCGTGTTCACGGAGGACAAAAATGGTACGTTTGTTCTGCCTGCTAGAGAATGTATAGAGAAAGGTAAACCCACAGGGAAAAGATGCACCTATTAATGGGCTAATGATATATAGTACTAGCAATTACTAGTACTATA